TTAGGAAGCGACCGCTCACCGCCTTGGGCGAGAAGTAGTGGTGGGCCTGATTTTATTTGGGCCAATAGATGGGCTTAAAAGTGATGCCCGGATAAGAGTGATGCCCGTGTATCAATTCGTGATGCCCGTGTATCAATTCCCATTTATAAATAGCTAATATATTAGTGGTAATAATATTAATAGTAATAGCTATATATATAAGTTAGGATATGAAAAATAATAATTTAATATCTTTATACTACTATATATATTAATAATAGTATTACTATTAATATTAATTAAGTTAGATCTTAACTTTAATAATAGAAGTATAAAATTTTTAGCTTTCTCTTCTATTATTACTATTATCTCTTAATTATTAACTTTAATAATATTCTTATTTTTCTTATTTTAGTATTTCTAATCCTCTATAAATTAATTATAAAGAATTTTACTAAATAGTTCTTTAAGTAGGTCTATATTATTAATGCTAACTTATTTAATTATAAAAGCTTTCATTTATTTATCTATGTAGTAAGATTTAATTTTATAATACTTTTAGCTTAATATATAATATTAATTAAACTTCTTATTACTTAAACTATTCTTATATTTCTAATACTTTAAGTAGATGTATATATAAAGAAGCTATCTATATATATCCTCTTTTTAATACTTAATATTTATAAGATTATTAAATTTATAATTAATTACTTTTTATATATTAGCTAAAATACTTATTTAATTACTTTTTAAATTTTTTTATATATTAATTACTATACTACTAGAGATTAATATAATATTATATTACTACTTAATAGTAAAGTAGATTTTACTCCTCTTTTTAACTTATTTAAGAGAGAGGATAATATTAACTTATAGAATATTTAGCTAAATAACTTCTCTAGTAAATAAATAGATTTAAATAAAGATAAATATTAGTTTAAATATATTAATAAGCTTCCTCTAAGTAATAATAATAGTAATATTAGCCTTTTTTAAAATATATAAGTAAGCTATGTCTATTTTAAATGGAGTATTATTATTTACTTTTTTATTTTTATTATTTATATTTAATATAATAATAAAACTAAATTTATTATATATAATACTCTTGATAATGAAATTAAAAATAAATAAACTATTACTTTTAAATATTAAGCTATAAATAACTTAAATTTATAGTAGAGTTAGTTTTTTATCACTTATATTATCTTCTTCTTGAAATATATTATAAAATAATATAAATATATTACTAGTATTATAATAAAAAGTTATAAATATATTATCTATAAATTAAATAGTTTAATAAAAAGTTAAGTTAACTAAAGTTAAATCTAATTAAAATAGTAGTATTAATAAAAATAGAGTACTTCAGAGCTGAATTACATATAGTAAATCTTTTTTTTACTTCTTCTATATTATTATTACTTTTTAGTAAAAAGATATTTTTAAAGTTTTTTACAATAATAGAGAGGCTATAAGTATAGTTATACTTTTTTATAATATAAACTTAACTACTATTAAACTATTAATCTTAGGTTTAACTTTAATAATAATAACTTCTTTAGTAGTCTCCTTAATAATAATAACTTAATAAGCTCTTTTAGTAAATATAATAATTTTAATTAATAATAAAGTAAAGTATTAAAGTAGTATCTTATATTAGTTATTATATATATTATTACTTCTATATACTATTAGTAATAAGTAATAGATAATACCTAAAAAGGTTATTATCTACCTACTAAGCTATATAATAATATTTAGGAGGTATTATAATACCTTTAGATGATAAGATTTAATAGAAATAGATTAATTAAAGCTATTAGAATAGGTTAATAACTATACTATAAATATCTATATAGTATTAGGTAAAATTTTATATATATATAGGGATTATGTGTGCATAATTTCGGCAAAAAGGGGGGGTGGATGCTGTCAACGCAACGGAGTGTAAGGTCTGCCGGGCGAGCTTGCTTTGCTCCAACCTACCTACTACCTAGGTACCTTTAGGTAAGGGCACGTCGCGATTCACGCTTTCGCGACGATTCCATTGAACAACCCCGAACAACCTCAATCGTACCGCCACTACCTCACCATTTGCCGCCACGCACAGCCAGACAACCCTGCCATACCAAGGCGCTTTCAGCTGTTCTATTGTTGTTGCTGAAACTCCGGACTCCGCAAACCATCACCGATCATTGCCCAGCGCGCAAGCAAGCTAACGTCGCGATCGATCCTGCATGCCACGCTGCAAGCCTTCCCCCCCCCCCCGCCCAGGACTCGGTTTCGTAGGCTGACATCGCCCACCAATCTTGCAACATGGATGAGGATGACAGAGGTAAGTCTCTATGTATTCCTCGCTACCCGCTACTGCCCTAACTTGCCTTGGCGCATCAGATTCCAACGCGAGCTCCGAGAACGACCAAGATGAGGTCATGGAAGATGTAGACGACGCCGAGGGTGACATGGAACCCGAGGAGGAGGATAACGAAGACGACCAGGAAGAGGGCGATAGGGAAGAAACGGCCGACGATGCGCACGACAAAGGCGATGACGGAGCAACAGGGGACCCAAGACAAGCATCTAGGGCCAACTCAGCCGGTGCTCGAGCATCGCCAGAGGGAAAAGGCAAATCACCACAGCCCTCGTACTCGAGTCTTTTCCCCAGTGTCCGACCCGAAGCAGTCAATGCCAGACTCTACGATATCGTTCCTACCATGGCTGCCCCTCAGGCGACGAGCATCAATGCTATAGCCATCACCCCCGATCTTCGATACTGGATGACTGGGGGATCCGACGGGTACATTCGCAAATACGATGGACCGGGTACTATAAACGGCAAACAACTTCTCACAGTGGCGCAAAGACACCCTTTTGTCGATAGTGTCGTCAAGGCGGGGATTTTGATGTCATACTGGGAGAATGAAGAGCCTGGGCCCCCAAATCCGAGAGGCAACGAAGAACATGTTCTATCCCCAGTCTACTCGTTGGCCGTACACTCCCAAGCATTGTGGCTCTTGTCTGGACTTGAATCTGGTGGCATTAACCTCCAGAGTGTACGCCATGATGAGGGAAAGCGCATAACGTGTCTTCAACAACACACTAATGCTGTGAGCGTTTTGTCACTAGCGCAGGACGAGAAGAGTGTGCTCAGTGGCAGTTGGGACAAAAACATTTTCGACTGGGATCTGAATGTCGGGACTGTGAAGCGTACTTTCGATGGCAGTGGAGGTCAGATATCTGCCATCGAACTACGACCGGTCAATGGAGCGCCGATTCCAGCGGACGCGATGGAAGATGACATTAAGCTCGACACAACTTTCAGCTCGAATAACGGAAAACCCGCAAAAAAGAACATAACTGGTGGCAGCGTAAACGGTGTAGATAGTCAGGCACCCGCTGTATCTGGTGAAGCCGATGAGGGACAGGCGTCTCCAGCGCATGAGTCGCTTTTTGGCGGCAGTGATACTGGGTCGTTATTCGGCGAAAATGTCGGCGGGAACTACGGGGCGGATGATGATGATGAGTTCTCGAGGGCCATGGGCGACATGGGCATGCCGCCGCTGCATGACGGCTCAGGCCAGGACGGAGGCATGGATCATTCCGCCGATATCGACATGACCATTGCCTTCAGTACTGATGCAACATCTGCCCCTGCAGTCCAGCCGTCAGGCACAGGCAGCCCGGAGGCGTCGAGGCATCACGCCGCTTCCCAAGGTGCTGACACTAATGCATTGGACGGACAACCGACGCAAGATGTCACGAATGATATTGCTGCACAGGCTGGTACGTCAAGCCTGGATGACGCAGCAGCAATTGACGCGCAGCTATCAGAACCCGCTCCGGGATCACCTTCCATGGTCTTTGCATCAGATCCGCCACCTCCACCTATGGATCCCACTCAATCTGCCGACACCGTCTTCTTCTCTGCAGCAATAGATGGTCCAATCCGACTGTGGGACCGGCGGGTTCAGGATCCCGTGGCAAGGATAGGTAATCAGCGCAGTGTTCCTCCTTGGTGCATGGGAGCATGCTGGAGCCCTGATGGTAACTGGATATACGCTGGCAGGCGTAATGGAACAGTGGAGGAATACAGCATACACAAGGCCAGAAGCGGTTGGGCGCCAGAGCGATCCCTGAAGTTTCCAGCTGGTAGTGGAGCTGTGAGCGCTGTGAGGATGATGCCAAACGGACGGCATTTGGTCTGGTAAGTGTTGTTGACTTACAAGGCTGTTGCAGGCGGCGGTTAAGCTAACTTGACCTAGTGCGTCTCATGATATTCTTCGCTTATATGATCTTAGAGACACGAGGGCATTCAAGCACTCGACTGTTCCCTTCTTGATTATCCCCGGACCTCCAAGGGCTGGTGTCATCTCGTCTCTATACATCGATCGGACCTGCCGCTTTATGTTGACGGCCGCTGGGACCCGTGGTTGGGAGGGCACAAGCACGGAAGTGTTGATTGGCTATGAGATTGGAGTGACCGAAGAAAAATGATAGGTTGTCTCAAGCCTCCTCAAACCAGAGGCGCTTGGAAATAAAGGTTCTCTCCTGACCTCGGCGGAGAGCACAGGCAAAGCGGTAAGAAGTATTTATGAATATGGAGTTGAAAGGCGACGCAGGCGATTTGGGTCTAGAGGTCTAGAATCAATACCCTTAGTTATTCGAGTACTGAGATGCTTGTTAATGTACCGCGACAAGACACTGGAGTGCGCACGTTGAATCAAGCTCCTGCGTGCCTTACCTAGCCAATCGCCACCGACAGACCCAACCTGTCGGCTTCTCCAATATCCCACAGCGGCCTAGCGCCCTGTGGGCGCCTCCGCTGATAAGCGGAACACGGCATTGTGGTCTGATCGCCGAGAGATACGTTCCCCCTGTTAAGGTATTGGAGCTTTACCCCGGATTGGAGGCTTTGGACATGTGCTGCCCCCCGACTGTCTATCTTCACCACACCACCTACCCTGTTGACCGGGGGTTTCATCTATCTCCCTAGCCATATCGACGCCTTCACCCTGCATTCCAACTCCTGCAACGATAGCAGCCAGCCACTCGGAGCACGCACCGGCGTTTTCGGCGTTTGCCGGAGATGAGGGGGTTATTGATACCAGTGATCTCTACATTTGGCCGGACCTGACCCGGCGTCGACAGCTCGGTTGATGCAAATAAGACGAACATGTCTCCCCCGCATTGCCAGGCAGCGGCGTCGGCCGACGATGAGATTCAACCGCTTCTTTCACGGCCTGGTCATTCATCCCACAACCTCGATACCGCAATGGCATCCAAAGATGCTGAGACCTTCGTCTCAGGCTCGGGCTCGAAGCCAGGCGCCGCTGATGCCGAACTGGCTGAGGCCATTCGTCTGGAGCATAACCTAACTTTCTCCGAAGCTGTCAAGCTCTACCCGGCTGCCATTGGATGGTCAGCCTTCGTGTCTCTTGGTGTCATCATGCTCGCCTTCGACCCTCAGCTGCTGGGAAATCTCTACGCCACGCCTCAGTTTCAACGAGACTTTGGCTATGAGTACGAAGGTTCTGTAAGCTACCTGATCTGCCCACCAACATGAAAATTGCCACGCCAGCTAACGCCCTTAAGTATATTATCAGTACGCCGGCAGATGGTTTCCGGCAGATGTACCCCCACCGTTGCTAACGTACATTCTAGGTGCCGCATGGCAAACTGGGCTTTCCATGGGCAACCCTGTTGGTCAAGTTGTCGGTGCTCTCTTCGCGGCGTATCCCATGGACTGGTTTGGTCGAAAGCTGACCTTTTCTGCCTGTGTCGTTTTGACCGCGGCGATTGTCTTCATTCAATTCTTTGCCCGCTCACTTCCCGTTCTGCTTGTGGGGGAGCTTCTTGGTGGTTTGGTCCTGGGCATGTATGTTGTCATTGCCCCGGCCTATGCCTCAGAGGTTTGTCCCACTGCGCTACGTGGTCATCTGACATCTTACGTCAATCTTTGTTTCGTTGCCGGTCAACTTCTGGCAAACGGCGTAACAGCTGGCACCTCCAAGCTTGAGACTCATTGGGCATATTCTCTGCCTTTTGCACTCCAGTGGTTCTGGATCCTAGTCATCCTCCCTGGCCTACTCTTTGTACCGGAAAGCCCGTGGTGGCTGGTACGAAAAGAGAGACTGGACGAGGCAGAGAGAAGTCTCAGACACTTGGCATCTAACAAAGTAAACGTCGCCGCAACATTGGCGTTCATTGTAGAGACCGACAAACTCGAGCAGGAGCTTGAGGCCGGAAGCACATATTGGGACTGTCTCAAAGGAGTGAATTTAAGACGAACAGAGATCTCTGTTGGCGCCTACTGCACCCAGGTCCTCAGTGGCATCTATCTCATTAACTATGGCACATACTTCTTTCAGCAGGCTGGATTGCCTACTGACAAAGCATTTGATATGGCCATTGGGTTTCTTGGTGAGTCGACCTTATCTTGGTGACTTGCAGATTCTGCATTAACACCATCCACGACAGCTGTTGGATTTGTCGGCACAGTAATCTCATGGTACTTCCTCATCCACTATGGTCGCAGGACTATCTACATCACGGGATTGGCTGCCTTGGTTGTCCTACAACTCATAATTGGCATTCTCGACTGCGTTCCAGGCCGACCCTCCGGTGTGATGTGGGCAGAGTCATCCCTCATGTTGATATGGAATTTTGCATATGATCTCTCAGTCGGACCGGTCTGTTTTGTGCTCATATCCGAGGCCTCCGCAACAAGAGTGCGATCCAAGACTATTGCTCTTGCAACCGCAGCTCAGGGTGTTCTGGGTATCATTATGACGGTGGCGATCCCGTACATGGTGAGCATTTCTTACCCCATCAGCCTCTAATCTAGGGCGCTGACTTGGATACACGCTAGATCAACCCCGACGAGTTAAACATGCAGGGGAAGCTCGGGTTCTTTTTTGGAGGTCTGGCGGCTTTGTGCTTTTGCTGGGCATGGTTTCGAATTCCTGAGACCATGGGCCGTACGTACGAAGAGCTGGACATTCTCTTCGACAAGCGCGTGCCGGCCCGGGACTTCAAGGGTTACGTAGTAGAGGGTATGGCATCCCCTAGCGCTTAAATACTCGGTAGGCGTGTTCTTTTCTTTGGGGCGCAGGTTTCGAAGGACTAAGATGTGTCATAATACCCGAGACGAAACGATATTAGAATTCCGTATGACTGGGCGGCACTGGAATTCATTTTTCCTCCTTCCCGTGAAACTCTACGACCTTTTGATGTTACAAGGAGCTTATCGGGATGGGAACGAGGTGTGAACCCACTACCACCTCCATCAGGATGGTCTTCAGTACTTGCATCGTGCTCGTCACGATCTACCGCCCGCTTCACTCCCCAGTTCTTGATGCAAAGATTTGAGTTTCCCTTCGCACAACCAGCAGTGACACAATGGTCCCCTTTCTCCATGCCATCCGATTCATGGACATTGGATCGAGATTAACCGCTGCATGGTAGCTATGGAACCTCCAAGCAGTCCGAATGGTCGGGGATGTGTTCAGAGTCACAGTCTTCGATTCAGTAGCAACTGCGACGGATCAGGCGTCCCACGAGAGGGCCAACAATTCCGTTCCATCCTGCGTTGATGAAGACTCGTTGCCTCTGTCGGTATCTGTACGGGTCTCACCACGATGTGACAACATTGATCTGGATGTTTGTAATTTTGCGCCGCAAGGAATGCCAAACAACGGGTATTAATATCAGGCCCAGAAAGACTTGAGAACCATTTTACAACGGTAATCTCACACTGAAAGCCAGAATGCCACTCATTGTTGAACGCTTCGAAAGGTCAGTCCAAGGGTCGAGAGATCAGTCCAGGGGAAATGCTGAAGGAAGTGCTTCGCTTGTCATGATCATCACACACCAGTTGTCTTGGCCACTTTCTTTTCCTTGGTCTCCGTAAACGTTAGCAACGGTCTATCTCATCTTACGAATTACAGCTTCTACTGAAGCGACAGCTCCGCCTTGAGTCCTCCCCCCATTATCCCCAGCTTGCGGTCTCTCCAGGGATTCAGATGGCAAAAACGAAGCGGGTCGCATGCTTGTATAGAGAGAGCACTATGCGTGTCTGCTTCCCACGCACGGTGACATTAGCCCTTGGCTGCATCGCCACCAATCGTTTGGCTCTCAGACACACCAACCCCGGCTTCTACGGATTGCACTGACACTTACCATGTGCATTGGGCCAGTACAAGCCAGTGATCATCGGCCCATGTGTGGTAAACGCGGCGTCACAAACCACCAGTCCCCGCATGCAAGGAAATCGGCGAGAAGTCCGGCGAGCAACAACGAACGTCACCTCGGCCGGCCATCTACCGAACTTGAGAGCCAGGTTCATTCCCCTCATCCCCACGATTTCCCCTCACCAACCCCCCCACGGGGTAAGGGAATCTTCCCGCGTACAAGAAGAGACACTGAGCCACACTACCTAGGGCGCATTCCTGTGTCATCGATCTTCGCCTCTTGGTGTTCTGCTTTTTCTTGTCACTAGTGCAACCGAAAACACGCAAGTCATGGATGCAAAGAAGGCCAGTATTGAGCAGGATGAGAACCCGGCGCCCAACGCGTTGAAGCCCTCGGCTTCGAATCCGACTCCAGAAGAATGGGCGCAACATTTTATGAGTCAGGATGAGGCCTGGCACAAAGACTATGACAAAAAATTGCTAGTCAAAGTTGACAGGAGGCTCATGCCCACGTTAGTTATGAGTACGAAGAAAAGCTTCCAAACATGTTCAATGTTCATGGCTAACTACGAAAACAGTGTATCTACTCAATTTCCTCGATCGATCCAATCTCGCCCAAGCTCGGCAAGGCACCCTGGAAGCGGACTTGGGCATGTCCGGGACCGATTTCAACCTGGCAACCTCCATCTTCTTCGTCGGTTATTTACTGATGCAGCTACCATCAAACCTGCTTCTCACCCGAGTGCGCCCGTCTTTCTATCTCGCATCATCATGCTGTCTTTGGGGTGTTGTATCGACCTGTAATGCTGGGGCGAAGACCTTTACGCACCTCGTGGTGATTCGTTTTGTAAGCCTACCTGACTTTCGCATTGCCAGCCTCATACCAGAACGGCAGCCGGTAGGGTTTCGCCGACGTCGCAACTGACGCGTCAATAGTTTCTCGGATTTGTCGAGGCCCCATTCTTTCCCGGTCAGTTCGGTACCTGGTGATCTTCAGTAACTCGTAGCTGACTTGTCCTTCCAGGTGCCGTGTTTCTCATGAGTTCATGGTACACCCGCGCCGAGCTCACCCGTAGAATTGCATATCTTTATGCTGGCAACGCACTGGCAAACATGTATGCAAACCGATATGTCATTCTATGATCGAAGCTAGCTGACGCTTTTCAGGTTTGGTGGACTGCTTGGTGCAGCTATTCTAGGCAATTTGGAAGGAGATTTGGGACACGCGGGTTGGAGATGGTTGTTCATCATTGTAAGGCTCTCCCACTCGATCTTTTTGGCGGTAGAAATTGACCGTCATCTTAAACAGGAGGGTGTAGTAGCCATTGCTTTTGCCCTAGTGGCCATGTGGATCCTCCCGGACTATCCTCACACGACCAAGTGGCTGTCCGAAGAAGAACGCGCCTATGCCGCCTGGCGCCTCATCGAAGACATCCAAGAAGCCGACACCTATCACGAACAGAGCATGTGGGGAGGTGTAAAGATGGCCGTACGCGACTACCGCCTCTACATATTTATTCTGATGCAGCACCTATCTCTGGTCACCCAGACTTTTCAATACTTCTTTCCAACGATTGTCGGTACCTTGGGCTACGGCAAGATCAACACCCTCTGGCTAACTGCTCCTTGCTGGGTGAGTCGACGATGCAGCCACCGGGAATCTACCGCATGCCATTTGACCACATGCTCATCGTCTCATAGGCTGCTACTTTCCTCATTTCCGTCTGCGTAACCTACTCTTCGTCAAAAACAAGAGACAGATCACTTCACATATTCTGCCTCACTCTTCTATCTGGAGTTGGAAACGCCATAGCGACTGGATCGAGTGTTGTTGGAGTCCGTTACTTTGCCATGTTTCTCATGCCCATGGGCGCTATTTCCGCATGTGAGCTCCATCAGCACATTGCTTAAAGATAGAATAACCTACTCACGCCAGATGCAGACCAAATCATTGTATCGTGGGTCGCCAACTCATTCCCTCGACCGCTCGTCAAGCGATCAGCTTGCATCGCCATCGCGAACATGATAGGTTAGTAGCTCTCCGCATGCGATTGGGATGAAGCTCACGTTGCTCATAGGAAACACCGCCACTATCTATGGTAGTTATATGGTTCGTGCTGTCAATATGAATGACCAATCCATATTAAGGAGCTGACTTGTTCTAGTACCCGAGCAGCACAGGTCCGCAATATGTTCCGGGAGGCAGTACTAATGCTGTTCTCTGTCTGATGGTTGGTTTACTTGCACTGGTGCTTCGATACTTGCACAAATGGGAAAACACAAAGCTAGAGAAAGCGGAGTTGGAGGCGGCGGCCGCGGCAGAGGGAGGGGAGAAGATGGCCGTCGATTTGACCCAAGAGAAGAGAGCAGCTGGCTTCAGGTATATCTACTGAGCTGGAAGAGTCACCACACCAACACACCCACCGCTTGACGTTGCGTCGGAGATACCCATGATGCCCGAATGCATGCGCTTGGTGCCCCTACTAATGTTGGAGAACTATCATCACAGTTGTATTTACTATGGTGAGAAGACATTTGCAACTCTGTTAGACATATTCTACGCTATTTACCAAAAAGTCCTGTGTCTGGGTAAAATATTTGAAGCACTTCGTCTGAGTGTAGCTACTCGGACAAGCAACGTATTGATTGATCTTATAATCACAGTTCAATTGTTATTACATTTGAGGCTCAAGTCTTGTCTATTGATTCAACTTGAAAACGCCGAATCCAAGTAGTCAAGCGCCGTTGTCAACTGCTCTTTAGCACCAGAAAAAAAAGGGGAATCATGTATCCAATGCCGACGAGTGAACATGACGGAAGCGAAGTCGCCACTTCAGCTACGGAGAAGCTGCACCATGCGCTATGACAGCTGCCTCGCGACTTCACTGTCTTGTAGCCGGGAAACCCAACCTCTCGGCATTCCAACCGAATCTGTAAGGACACCAGGGCTCTTCAGCATCGTCTTGTCCCAACCATCGAGTGAGCGAATAGGAGTTCCGAGAGGTCATCGGGGCAGCACTAGTGTCAAGTCGATCTCGATACACAGAATCTGCCGTAACGGAATCCTGTGCCACTGTTTGAGGCATGTCGCTATCACAGTGATGAGCAAACTGCCCGTTGAAGGAGGAGAAAGAACCCGCAACAAAATATTCGGGCCGATGTTCTCAGCGTCCACTCCGCCACCAAATCGATGGGCTCATAAAGGAAACACACACCCCAGGCTTGATTCCACGGTGCGCCGTGGTCCGCAGTATTTTGGGCACAGAATGATGCCTTCGTGTGTGGCTGAATGAGCCGGTAGGAAGGTAGGCTGGAGGACCTCGCACGCGTAAAGAGTCAAGGCAGGGGCTGGCCGGAGATGAAGTCGTCCTAGAAGACGAAAGGGCTCAGCCTGAACACATGAGAACATCTGGCTTGTAGACGGGGATGTGGCATCTTAAGTAGACTTTTGATGATGTGACAACGTCCACCGACCTGTATATGCCTACCTGGCGCCGTGCTGCTTTCCGAACCCCCCCCCCCCTGTCTGACTTGTTGTTCACGAACCAGCTTTTGTTTAGTTCTTGCAGGTCGTGCAGGTTGTGCAACCGCAGAGGACATGCAAGCCAGACGCCGCGCATTTCGAGAAGGACCGGGGGCCCATTTCTCATGGTTTGGCACAGAGCCCACATCTTCGCGCGTCGCTCTAAGCGACATAGCAAAACCTCGACCTGTGTTTGATGCGATATGTAGGCGAGGCAGGTATCCGTTCGCGATGTATTATTGCTCCAATCCAAGGAACCGTTGGAGCCCCGTCGAGGATAGCTGCAGTAGCCGGCTTATCCTAGTTATTCGCTTTGTCGCGTCGCTGAGCCCTCTTTCTGCATTGTGCCAGACAGTTAATTTTGAAGAAGCGCCCCTATCACTGAGAAGTACCTAGTACGCACAAAAGTGGTAAGGCGATGGAACGATGTTTTGGCTTTAATCTATCGATCACATTTTGACATTTGACCATCAACCATAATGGAACACACCTCTCTCGTGAGCGCCTCCGCCTCTTTTTGGCCGACCCATAGCCATTCGTATTCCTATCCTATGCCGTGTCCGCCCTTTTTGCCCTTGTCCACGGCCCAAAGAAATTGATGAACCCAAAAAACTTTCGAGACTGGTCTCTCCCACAAGGTGATTACCATTATATACTATATTGATCGGCCGGCGGACTCGCTAGCAACAACTCATGTGACATTGTACAAAGGAAATGACTTTTTTCTGTTTCGCGGGAATGAATGTGATCATGGCCCCACAGGGGCGTTGTAATATTGTACAGGCACCAGCGGCCATTCTGTTGGCATCGGCGTTGGTGCTGGTGCGTTTTCGTCGACAACTGTGCTGGAGAAGCTCTCCCAGTCCTCAAACACGATACCGTCAGGGATATACTGAAAGTTCATGGGCTGTGCCTCTTGAGGTGGTGGCGGCAGCTCTCTGTCGAGTGACGCCCGGTGAAGAGGCTCTGGTGTAGTGCGCTGCTGAGGGGTGTGGAACAACGGCGCCGGCATCATCGACTGCGCTCTCATGTGATCCATAAAAGGCCCCGGTGAGGAGTCTTGCGACGACAAGACCGGGGGCTGAGGAGATTGCGTCGGCAGGGTCTGCGAGGGTATCGAAGGAGGCGGCAGCAAGGGCTGAGGAGGGTATTGCTGAGGCATAGCAGTAGGAGCAGGGGCGTAGCATTGCGAGTATTGCATAGGCGGCGATGCCGGCACGGGGAGGAAGACAAGGTCCGCAAGCTTGTACGCGATTGAGACAATCGATTCCGCCTCAGAGCTGGAACCAGAAAAGAACTCGAGCAGATCCTGAAGTTGGCCGGGACTTTCGTTCTCCATAAAGCCTTGAGCACGGCCAGTCTGTGTGGGGTTCCAGCTGAAGTTGGGTTGGCGTCCATTGAATTCGTTCGCCTTTGACATGAGGATGTCCTTCCAAGCCTCGTGAATCAATGGCTGATGAAGAAGGCCGTAGATAACTCTGGAATGCATCCAGTCGGACTTTGTCTTTCCCGACTCAAAATGTCTCGCAACGTGCTCGACGTGGCGTTCACGTGAGGGATGAAGGGCGGAACAGAAGCCACAAGCCCAGTACTTTCTCCTCTTCAGATACTTGACAACCTTTTCGGAGTGGGGGCATGTCTTGCAGCCATGAGACGCCTTGTGGTGTTGATTGAAGGTGTTGGCTCCCCAGAAGCTCCTATTGCAGCCAGGCTCAGGGCATGGGTATTTCTTCCAACGCTCGTGGAACTCCTCCTCATGACGCTTCCAGTCGTACTTGCGCTTGAACCTTGTTTCGCAGGATGTGCACCAGTAGAAGTTGAATCGGCCGGGACCCCATCCCGTCTGGGCGCTCGCTACTTGAGGAAGGCCGCCAGGAACAGCCTGGGGTGCGGATTGCTGGCATGTTGAAGGGCTTTGAGAAGACTGAGAGTAATTGGTAGCGATAGTAGCGTTCGAATTGGCGGAGCCCATTGACCAAATGCTGGCGTGCCCAGAGGATCCTGAACTCGTCGATGAAACCGAGATGCGCGGTCGGTGACCAATTTGGCCATGGCAAATCGCTGGGGACACAGGAAGGAAGTTAGTCGGATGATCTCTTCTCCAGGTTTGGAGAGGCAATAGAATCAAACCTCGTGTGGAAGCGTCTTCCATAGGGGCATCTTGTTGGGGAACCATCTGCTGTTGCTGTTGCTGCTGCTGTTGTTGCTGCTGTGCTGCCCTATCATCGGCCTCCCACATTTGCATCAAAAGATCGCGCGAAAGCCCCGAATTCTTCAAGGCCTCAAGCGTCCGTCGGGCATCGGCCAGCACGTCGGCTGGGGCATCTTGCATAGGATGATCCATCTGAGCGTTATCCACTTTCCCCTTTCACTCGGCGAAGACGAATTGGCGTTGGTGTTGGCTTTTTCTTGGTTGGGTCAGGGCGCGTCGAGGTAGCGACAGTGTGTTGAATGATATGAGCTGATGAACGAAGTAGGCGACAGATGATCGGACGATGTGCCGCAAGGGCTGATCGGAGGTGTGTACTGGCGACGGAATCAACAGAAAAGATATCGTACAAGCAGAACGTTGAGTCGCGGGTCGACAAGACGAAATCAAGTGGATGGGAAACGGGTGTCGGCTCGAAGGCGTCGCGAGCGTAGATATAATGGGAAACGAGCGTGGAGGGTTTGGATGGTATTAAGGGCGACGGGAAGTAAAGGTCGGGTCGGGTGTGAGGTAGTCGTAGATAGAAGAAGAGGTAGAAGTAAAGAGGCAGAGAGGTAGGTGCGGTGTGGAGCGGAGCGAGGCCAGGTTAAGATGGAAACAGACTGGCGGTGGCGTGTGGTGTACGGTGTATGGTATGGGAGGAGGTGTGTGAGGTGTGAGGTGTTGGTAGTCGAGTACTCAGTGGGAAGCGAGCGTGTGCTTTGAATCAAAGCCAGCGGAAGCTTGGGCAAAGTTAGTCAGGAACCTAGCGTGGAGAGGGAACGACTAGGGACTAGAAGACTAGGTTGGAGGCTAGGAGGCGCGACGAGGTCTGAGATGGGAGGGTAGGGGCCTTACAGCAGTGTCCGATGGATCCCTGCACAAACGACTTGTTAGCGCGCTTCTCGTTCCCGGCCGACGTCGAGACGTTGGGCAGATTTCGGAGGAGGAGCAGGGCGGGCAGGTAAGGTAACGTATGGTACAAGGCCTTGGGTAGGTAGGGTAGGGGCAAGACAAGGTAGGCGAGGTATTTTGTACAGAAAGGAGGGGGCAGAGGAGGACAGCTAATGTAGATGGGAAAGGCCCGGGCGGAGAGTGATGGCGGGCGAGAAGAGGAGTGGGAAAGAAAGAGAGAAAAAAAGGGGGGGAGAGAGAGAGAGAGAAAGAGAGAGAGAGAGAGACGGTGACAGGGGTGTATGTGTGTGTGTGCTGGGTATCCGTAGGTAGATAGATAGGTACGGATAGGTAGGCAGGTAATAATTGTATGTATGTGTACAGCATGTGCGTATGTGCATGTGCGGTCCCCTTCCCCCCCTACCGTATGTCTGTGAAGCGGCTGCTGCTGCATATGCAGGCCGACAGATATTGCACTTGTCAATTCCGTCCGATGTTTGGGGGAGACAGGAGCCAGGAGGGAGGTGATCTCCCACCCCTGCCATTTGAGCCCGGGCAAGGGCCTGCCTGCCTGCCTGGGGTGCGAGGGTCTGGGATCTGGCGAAAAAGAGACGAACGATGCTGCACACGCACACGCAGAGGCAAGTGGCAATGGCAGGAGCAACAGTGCTTACTGTACCTTACCTCAGTACCTACGGGACGAACACCTACTGCGTATCCGTACGGGATTGGATATCTTAGCGGTCAGCCAACAGCAGAGCAGGTCCGCAGCGTAGCCCTTGACCTGGACCTGGACCTGGACGGGGACCTGGACGGGCAAGCAAGGAAGCCGTTCAGCGATCCCCAGAAAGATCGGGCTAGAAGATTTTTTTCTTCTTTCTCCTCGTCTTCTCCGGCCGGGCCTGCTGGCCGTTTCTCGTTTCTTGCGCGTCCCTCGGTCCTGTACTCTGTGTCCGTAATTCCCCTCCAGTCACGCGTAAGGATATCGCTAGCATGCAGACGAGGGGTGTTTCACTCTTCTGGGAGATGTGCCTGGTTGGAACGCTGCACAACGGCATGAGGGGGTGGGAAAAGGTAAAGAAGGGTATCCTACGTATCCGACAACCTGCCTGCTGGACAGACAGAGAGACGGAGAGAGCGAGAGAGAGCTGTGGATGGCCTGTGGGAAATGCAAACGGCAAACGGGAAGCATGGGGAACCGGGGGGGGGGGGGGGGGGGGCGTGTTTGAAAGCAACAGGAGCAAGGAGCAGGGACGATCCCGCGATGAAACGAACCTCTCAGCGCGTCATCGTTCGGTTACGGGAGACGATCTTCTCACGAGTGGTACGCTCCGCGTCCGTGGGAACAGACCACAAGGAGCTATCTTGGGCGATTTGGCTGCCGATGGATTTGAAAATATCAAGGAATCGCGAGGCAAGGTCGCGGGTAGAGTAGAGTAAAGTAAAGTAAAGTAAAGTAGCGTGGCGGCAGCGGCAGCGGCAGTGGATGCGTATGCGTGGGATGCGGCTGTTGAGACGAGCCCTTCTTTTCGCACTTGGTCCCAATTCGGGACAGCTCGGTTTTTCCGGGAGCTGGGATGAGAGATGGGATGGGACGTCAATCAAGGCACCATGGAATTATTCGTACTTGTGCGCCGACCGACCGAGGGGGGGAGGGGCGTGGCAGGAGGCGTTTAGTTAAGCTCAAGCGGCTTCAATGGGATGAACAAACGAACCATCGATGCGGCGAAGGCTGGCAGAAGCCAAAAAGAAAGAAAAAATCAGATGGGGGAAGGGGAAGAGCACAGAGTCAAGGGGAGGAGAAGGGGAAAAAAAAAAAAAAAAAGGGAAAAAGACGGGTAACGAAGCAGAAGGGTCAATGGTTTAGAAGCTTCAGCCTCGCTGGGATCAGGGGTACAGTCTAGGTACGAGGGCAAATGGCAGTTGGGGCAGTTGGGGCAGTTGGAGCAGCGCAGCTCACCCAGCTTCGCAACCTAAAGTACAGTGGTTGGAAGCGTCGGCGTGAGCGTAGACGTGGGTGTGGGTAGAAGGTTCAAGGCAAGATGCAGATGCAGATACTGGTAAAGTGTGGGTGCGCGCGCGCGAGCGGGCGGGCGGGTGTGAGTGATGTGATGAGATGGGACAAGTCAAGTGGATGATGGGATGAGACGCGGGTGCGATGGGATGGGATGGACTGCAGTGGGAGAAACGCCGAACGAGTACACCTACTGCGTACCTACCTTACCTACGGGAACGGACGGGAGCGAGAGAAAAGGCGACGGGAAGGAAACAATGGGCGGGCAGCTATACTAGACAATGACCGCACACTCCACGCCCGGGTCCAATCAATCGCGGATGGGGGGCTGGTGCTTGACTGATTGATTGATTGACTGGATGCTTGCTTGGTTGAATAATACCTTGGCTTGGGGAACCAATGAAGCATGCGAAAATACACACACACAACCAAAGCATAGCAAGCATAGCACAGCACGTATAAAGTCGTACAAAACCAGCAGAGCATCAGGCACGGATAGGCAACATCACATCAACTGGACCCGTTTAGCAGCTGTGAACCTTGCCTTATGTACAATATCCCGTTCGCTATACGTACTAGGTAGTGCGCCGGCAGCCACGCCAGAGGGAGGCGCTAGGAAGCAAGCGAAAGCAAGCGAGAGTGAAAATAGGAAAGTGTCGAAGGGAAGAGGGGGAGGGAAACGTGCGGGAACAGCGCGTGGCACACTCACACATACCATAGTATCCGTACACGCTTCAGACCTCTTGTTCAAATTCACAATCATTTCAACTGACCGACTGATGCGAGAGATAGCTTACCTAGGCAAGGTACCTTACCACAACCCCCGCTTCTTTTTCGGAGCTAAGCCGAGAGGGGGAGCACAGAGGGAGCGTGCACCACGGCGCTAGCACCAGCTAAGGTCAACATCGGTTTGAGGGTCCTCCCATCTTTCACTTTTTTCAAGCCATGCGGTGCGGTTGGTGATAAGATGGCAGGCCTTCTCGTTTGTTCCGTTTGCCGAACGAGACCCGCTCGACATAGCAACGGTGCAGGCTCACAGCCAGCTCAAGGCACGAGGCGCAGCCCATCTCTACAGCGCAGCCATACGAGAAGTTGAAGAGAACCCGTCGATTCCTGGTTTGCAATATCTTACTACGGCTTCAAGTAAAAAGGCAGAATCAAAAGACTCTTGGGGAAACTGCTCACTGGTTCATGACTGCCTCGTTGTGATTGGCCGAGACATCACCTGAAACAAATTCAGGACCGTTCACCGACACGCCACGGGCGACCCAGCGTTTCGAAACATGAATAGAAAGAAACACTGCCAGGAACCCCCGACGACGACAACGACGACGACAACGACGACGACACCACCACCACCACCATCGCCATCGCCATCGCCATCCACCTCAGTGCGTCATTCCAACGGCCACAGAGCACCTTGCCTCGCTTTGTCAACCTTACAGCACCTATGCGTTCAGTCCAGCACAGTGACAGCCCCCAAAGCGTCCCATATAGCTGCACTGCCACTGTAGCCTAGCTGACGGGTGCAATCCAATGGTGTTCGTGGAGGGCCAGAGCTCGTTGCAGGGGACATTACAGGGGACTCCTGGTGGTTTTCGGAGCCCTTGAACTGATTTGCCTGGGGAGCTATTCCATACACCAAGCTACAAGGGGGCTACTGCAGGGGTCTATTACCGGTTTTGGCCAGCTTTAATAACGTGATGGGGCGAGAATAGGAAGGATGAGGGGCAACAATTAGCGGGAAGCTGTCCGTTGATTGGTCAAGGCACAGACAAGTGGGCACAGCACGGCCCTTCCTTTTTTTTTTCTTCCCCCCACCCTAGGCTTCTTCTTGTGCCCCCATCCTCTCACACTCTCTATGGCCTCTGCTTCTTGTTCACATTCTTCTCTGATCCGTGGCCTCTTGCCAGCTGGCTGTATCCGTACTTCCTATTGATCCTCACGTAGGTATCAATGGCTCCGCCCGTACTGTAATAAGGGTCCTTTCTTCCTCAGTAACCGGCGTCGATGCTGCTTGTCATTCTCCGATTAAATTTCCCAAGGCAAACCCGACCTACCCTTACCGATACCGTGACCGTGGTTGCGTGGGGCTCCATATCCCCCCCTCTCATCATAAGTAAACTCGCGAGTCGGGGCGAGTGCTGCAAGGGTTCGTTTATTTCATACGTCTGGTGTCCTTCTTGCACAGCACAAGTTCTGCTTCATATCACGTCAAATATGCCAGACTCTGGTCCGATCCACTAAA